ATTTAAAGAACAAACATATGCATAATTCAAATAGATAAGAGACCTATAGACTGAAGACATATAAAACCCATTCTGTAGAATGACAGCATAAAATTTCCCAAATCTTGGCAACCACATGGACAACCAGGTACAAGAAGTATTTAGAACCCCAAATAGACATAACTAGAAAAGAATGCCTTCATTTTGCATTATAGTTAAACTGCAAAAAGCACACAACAAAGAAAGCATATTAAAAGCTTCAAGAAAGAAGCACCAAGCCACATATAAAGGCAAATCTATCAGAGTAACAGCAGGTTAGAAATTCTAAATTAGGCCAGGAAAGCACGAAATGATGCATTTCAAAGTTTGAAAGAAAATAACTGCCAACTTAGATTACTTTATCCATCAAAGTTATTCTTCAGAATTGAAGTAGAAATAAGGACCTTACATGATAAGAACAAACTAAGGGAATTCATGACTAGTAAACCAATGAAAATTCTCTAGCCAGAAGAAGAAAAATGACAAACAATCATGAAGCATGGGAAAAATAAATCTTACCAGAAGTGTAGAGAAGCACATGAGAATCTGGAAAGAAACATCACTAATACAGAAAACTATCAAGCTCTAAAATAAATTGGAGAGGAAATAACAAACAAAATATTCAAAACAACAGGAAGAAAAACAACAAAATGAGAGAAACAAGTACATTTCAATAATAAAATGTAAATGATGTTAATTCTCCAATTAAAGATGTAGACAGGCTGGGTGGATTAAAAATAAGACCCAACAACATGCTGCCTGCAAAAAATTTGCCTCACCAGAAAAGACAAAGGCCCAAAATTTAAGAGTAAAAAATGATATTCTAAGCAAATGGAAGCTGAAAGAAAGCAGAGTAGCTATACTAATGTCTGATAAAAAAGACTTTCAGTCCAATCAGTTAGAAAAGATAAAATCACTATATACTGACAAAGGGAACAATTCTTTAAGAGGATATAATGATTGTGAATATTCATGTACTGAACATGGAGTATCCAATTTTATAAAACAAACACCATAAGATGTGAAGGGAGAGATAGGCCCCAATATAATAATGAGTAACTTCATTACTCAACGCTTACCAACAGATAGATTATCTAGGTGAAAGAAATCAACAAAGAAACAACAGAGATAAATTACACTAGGATCAAATGAACTTTATAGATATCTACTGAACATCCCATTCAAGAGTGGCAGAACACACTTTTTACATAAGCACATGGAACTTTTTCCAAAATAGATCATATATTAGGCCATAAAGCAGTCTTAGCAAATTTAAAAATGTTGAAATAATTTTTTGCATCTTATCACATCATAGTGAAATGAGATCAACAGCAAGAGAAACTATAAAAATCATACCAATGCATGGAGATTGAACAATACACTTCTGAACAAATAGTGGGTTTTTGAAGAAATCAGGGTGGGGGAGATTAAAAATTTCCTAGAATGAAATGAAAATGGAAACACAAAACACAAAGCTTGTGTGACAGCAAATGTAGAACTAAGGGGAAAGTTTATACTTATGAGAGAGGGAGAGAGAGTGAGAGAGCTCAAATAAATGACTTAATGATGCATTTCAAAGTCTTAGAAAACCAAGAACAAACTAAATTCAAAATAAATAGAAGGAAAGAAATAACAAAGATCAGGACAGACATAAATGAAATAGACACTAAAAGGATGATACAAAGTATCATTAAAACAAAGAGTTCATTCTTTTAAAAGATAAAATTGACAAATCCTTAGCTAAAGAGAAAGAAAACTCAAAAAGTACCACTAGAGATGAAAAAGAGTATATTACAATAGATACCATCAAAATCAATAGGACTATTAGGGAATAATTTAAAAAACTATATGCCCATAAACTATAAGATCTAAAAGAAATGTACAAGTTTCTGGACATATATGACCCATCAAAACTGAACCAAGAGGATATAAACTAAGCAGATCAATAACTATGAATGACACTGAAGCAGTAATACAAAGTCTCCCAGCAAAGAACTGGACAGATTCACTGCTGAACTTTACTGGACTTTCAAATGCACTTCAAACTATTCCATAACACAGAAAGGGATGGAACACTTCCAAACTCAATTTGTGAAGACATTATTATCCTGCTGTCCAAAATTGATAAGGACACAACAACAACAACAAAACAAAACAAAACCAAAACAAAAAAAAAAAACCTATAGGTCAATATCCTTGGTGAACATGGATAAAAAAAATCCTCAATAAACACTTGAAAATTGAATTCAAGAGCATACTAAAATGAGTACACACTAATGATCAAGTGGTTTAATTCCAGGAATGCAAAATTGATTCAACATTCACAAATCAATAAATATAATATAGCACACAAATAGAATCAAAGATAAAAATCACAAAATCATCTCAACAGATGCAGAAAAAGCCTTTGATAAAATCTAATATCCCTTCATGATAAAATCCCTGAATAAATTAGGTATAGAAGGATGATATGTACTGATAAAGGGAACAATTCTTTAAGAAGATATATAATGATTGTAAATATTCATGTACTGAACATGGAGCACCCAATTTTATAAAACAAACACCATAGGATGTGAAGGGAGAGATAGGCTCCAATACAATAATGAGTATCCCATAGCCAACATTATACTGAATGAGATAAAACTGAAAACATTTTCTCTAAAATCAGGACCACCACAAGAGTGTCCACTCTTACCACTCTTACTCAATATAGTAATTGAAATTTTAGACAGAGCAATTAAAAATTAAATAAATGAAAGAAATCATAGGTATGCAAACAGGAAACGTGAAGTCAAATACTTTTTTTTTCTGACAGAGTGATTCTATATTTAGAAAACCCTAAAGACTTCACCAAAAGACTTAGAACAGATAAATTCAGCAAAGTAGCAGGACACAAAGTCAACATACAAAAATTAGTAGCTTTTGAAAATACCAGTAATGAACTCACTGAGAAAGAAATCAGGAAAACAATACCATTACAACACACACACACACACACACACACACACACACATACACCCCCTAACAAAGACTAGGAATAAACAAAAAGCTAGAAATAACCCTAACCAAGAAGATGAAAGACCTCTATCATAAAAATCATAAAATACTGAAGAAAGTAATTAAAGAAGATGCTAGCAGGTGGAAAGACCATATTCATGGAATGGGAAGATTAAAGTTAAAATTGTCACACTACTGAAAGTGATGTATAGATTCAATGCAATCCCCATGAAAGTACCAATGACATTCTCTACCGAATGTAGAAACGATCATTTAAAAATTCATATTGAAGCACAAAGACCCTGAATAGCCAAAGCAACCAACCTTCAGCAAAAAGAGCAATTTTGGAGGCAATCCAATACTTGATTTCAAATTATACAGCATAGCCATTGTAACAAAAAAGGCATGGTATTGGCATAAAAACAGATCAGTGAGATAGAATAGAGGACCCAGAAATAAACCTATACATTTTCAGCCAACCGACTCTCAATGAAGGTACTAAAAACATACACAGGAGAAAAGACAGCATATTTACCAAAGACCCAGAAAGGTACATATTGCAAATTTTCTCTTATGTATGGAAAAAAAAAGATAATCTAGAAGTAGAAGAGAGACTAATACGGAAGGGGAAGGAGATTCAGGGGAGGGGGAGACAAAGGGGAGAAAGGAGGGTGGACATGATCAAAACATGATACATATATGTATGGAAATGCCATAGTGAAACTCATTAATTTGTACAATGCATTAAAAATTATGATAAATATATGTCTAGACAAATTCCTTGCAAGACTTACTAAGGAAAAAGAAAAGGCAAAAACTGATAAGATTAATAAGTAAAAAAGAATTCATAACCGCAGATATAATATATAGGAATAGAATTATAAGACAGATAATACTTGCATATGTGTGGCAGTAGATCTGAAAGAAGATTTTGGTTTTTGCTTTTTGGTGCTAGGGATTGATCCCAGGGTGTTGTGCATGCTAAGCATGAACTCTACCACTGAATTACATTCCCAGCCCTAAACAGGGATTATGATCTACACGGAGTATATGATAATCAAAACTGACCAAAATGAATGTGGAAAAGTAGAAAAGAACCAATATCAGTGAAAATGTTGGAGAAGAGATTTAAGATGTACAATAGCAAAAGCAAACAGGAGTTATATCAAGTATCACAAACATACTCTCACAAGTATTTCTGAATTTAGAAGAAAGTACAGAAAATTTTCAGGGGACAAACCAAATGGAGCTGAAACCCAGAGAAGTATGCTGGAGGTGGGGCTGAAGCTACAGTTGTTCAGCCTGTCAATCTCAGTAATAAAGGGGTTTAGAATAGAGTGACTTCAGCGTCAGGACAGGAGATAAACTCATGGGACGGCATAAAGTGGACAGTTCAACTGAGACCCTCCACACAAAGCTGGGGCACTGCAAATAAAAACATGAATTAGAAAAAAAGATAGCTTCCAAGTAAACTCATGTGTTTCAGCAAGGGCTCTGGGTGGGTTGTGTGTACACCTTTCCTATGCTATTCTCAAGCCTTTCTGCAGGGGATACTATTATCCTGGATTTTATGTTTATGCAAAGTGCTGATGGTTTTTAATTTAAAAAAATGGTATATTGAAGTAGTCTTCCTGACTTGATTTGACTCAGTATTGTGTTTATGAGAAAAAAAAAAAATCAAATCCACTGCTTCCTGATAACCACAAGAAACAGACACAATCTTCGATGAATTAAAGAAAAAAAAAAAGAAACAAAATATAGAAACTAACTACATATTGTAATATGACTTCAAATCAATATTAGGGAAAAACAAAGCAGTTGTAAACTTCAACTTCCCTCCCAATTTTTTCCTAAACAATTCCCACCCTCATTTCCTGGTACATATTCTTAACAAAAGGCTAAAGGCCCTGAAATGAATCCCAGGGACTTCCCCAGCTTTCCCTTTCCCTCCCTCTCTTATCTTCCCCAATGGGACAGGCCCCTCAGCTTGAAAGCCTGGGGAGGCCCAGAGTGGTGGCCGGGGCACAGAGGAGGGCTCCTCCCCCAGGAAAACGGGTAGAGGAGTACATGGGTGTAAGGTAGGACCCCCCATAGTGGGGGAAATCAAAATGGAGCCCTGGTGCCAGGGGAAAGCACGCTGGTGGGAAAGGAGGCCCGGCCATTCCCACATTCTCCAGTGGGAAGGCGTCGTTGATTGGCCGACTGCCCATCTGGTTCCGGTTATAGAACCAAATTTGGACCAAGTCCTTCTGCAGTCGGAGGTGCCCAGCGATGCGGCTGATTTGCTGGGGTGTAGGCTTTGGGCACTGCAGGAAGAGTTTCTCCAGGTGGTTTCTGATTCGTCTCTCCCTGCTTGCCCGTCTCCGTTTCCGAGCTTGCTGCAGAATCATCTCCATTTTGCATAAGCCCAGAAGGTTCTTGGCATCCACTTCCTCTAGCCACATTTTCAGCAGCGGCTGCAGCTTGCACATGTTGGCGAGGCTGAGCTGCTGGGCCTCGAAGCGGCATATGGTTGTCTGGCTCAGCACCTTTCCAAACATAGCTCCCACGGCGAACCCCACATCCGCCTGCGAATACCCTAGGGTCATCCTCTTCAGCTTCAGCTCTTTAGCCAGCTGCTCCATCTCCTTTTTAATAGCTAAGACATCTTCGGGCAGTGCCAATTTCGGGAGGCTCCGCAGAGCAATGTAAGGTCCAGAACAAGTGCCCTCGGGGGGCCTCTGGCACCAGACTCCTATTTCGCCAGCTCCACAGGAGGTCATCCTGCCCCGGAATTCATAAGGCAGGGGACCCAGGGGTACCCCCCACATGTCAGGGCCTGGGAAAATGCCTGGCCCAACTCCTGGCTGGACCATCATCCTGCCAGGAGCCACCTGGGCACTCAATAAGGTTGGAGTGTCAACCCTCATGGACACTGGCCCTCCGGAGCCACCCCCGCCACTGGATTGAAGGGGGTTCAAGTTTGAGGTCCTGTGTCCTGCCATGGGGTAGGCCGGCTCCCCCAGCAAGAGTCTGGTAGGAACTGATGGCTCTCGAGGACTGAAACAGCTACCAGCCTTGCCCTCGAGCCCCGCCCCCTGGGGGGGCAGGAGACAGAGTGGCAAGCAAGAGGGATAAGGGTGTGTTTTTTTTTGAGTGCAGAAGTGGGATATCTCGCAAATCCATTCAATGGTAACTCCTCAGGTCTTTGAGGTTAAGGGAGTGAGTCCCTCTATCTGAGCATTATTCTCAACTCCTACCAAGGTACAACCTGGAGTTCTGGCCCTCCAAGTGGTTTGGGGATCTTTAGTCGGAGCCTCCATCTATCCCTGAATGCAACTCAGGTATTTACTTATAGCTCTTCAGAAACTCTGACATCTAATCCCTTCCTCCCACATCCTCTGAACTGCCTTTTGGCTTCACAAATATTAATTAAACATCCACATGACAGGTCTAAGGGCGACCTCGTGATCCATTAACTATTCCGTCTCTACTATCTTTATTGCCAAAAGTACTGCCAACAGTCCCTTCTTTGAACATCCTCAGTCCCAGTGCCCTACAAAATCTAGACACATGTACTTGAATTTCTAGATAACATCAGTTTACTGCCTCAGATTCTACCCCACCCCCATACTCGACCAGATTCCACTCTCTCATTAGGGTGGAGTTTCTTAACTAATTCCATGTTTCTCCCACTAGCCCTGCAAGTCCTCATAAAACAGAGACCTACCTGTGTTTTTTTCTTCTTCTGGATACAGGTCTCTGGACTGTACTTGCTGTTCCCCCATAAGGATATTCCCTGCAGTATCTAACTTAACAACTTCAGGTTCCTCTATCTGTGACCACTCTCCCACTAAAGACCAAAGGATCTTAATTTGTACCTCCATTATGCCCTAACTACAGCATCCAGTCCTAAGAAATCTAAGGAGGGAGGAGAAAGAAAATATCTGACCTAAGGTTTAACACTTTCAAGGAAGAAAAGGACAGTGACTTTGGTGGGATGATCTCAGCCTCTTACTCCTTCATTCTTTAACCCAATCATGATATGGCCTTGTCTCCATGCACATCCACTGAACCAGATCTTCTTGAAGTCACTGATACACTTCCAACTGTCAAATCCAATGGCATTTAAAAAATTCTCATCCTACTCATTTTCTCTGTAGTTTCTGACAGATACTTCTTTTTGTTGCTTCTCCTTTTAAAATTTATATGAGATGCCAGTAACAGCCAAATATGTATTCCATATCTGATACTCTTCTAATATCCAGTCCTGTATTTCCACTGCCCCAAATAAGATTCATTCTTCTGAGCTTCTAAATCTGCCACCCAACTTCCAGGGACTTATGAGCTGGTTAATGGCATTACCACCCACTCAGCCACCCACACTTAAGCCCTGGAGATGTTCTTGACCTTTCCCATATTCCACTGAACACCAAATCTTATAAACTAGTTCTCCTAAAACAATTAAACTCTACCATCTCCACGTGAGCCTCATTTACTAACTTAATTCAAGCCACATAATTTCTCATCTGTAAAATCACAATAATCTTATAACTGGCTTCTTGTGCTTCTTATTTAGATTCATCCTGCATACTATTGCTAGGGATAATTTTCCAAATACCAAATCATACCTATCAAAACCTATCCATATCAAGCAAAAGTATGTGTTATTTTCTTCTTAAACTATCTTCAAAATCTAGTCCCTCTTTTCCCAGTTGACAAAGTGGGCATTTACATTCTTGAACATGATACATGTGGCTCTACACCCTTTGGTCCCTTGATACTCCACATTTCAGCAAAGATTATCTCATATTGCATATAAATGCTACCCTTTTATGCTCATTATGTCCTTTGTTTACGCTGTTCCTTCTGTCTGAAATAGTTTCCCCTACTTCTTGGTCTTATTCTTTCATATCATTCAGCATTCTACTCAAATAATATCTAATTAGAGATGATGTCCCTGAATTTAAAAAATTTGCATCCCTGCTACTCTCTGTTCCTTTTCTGAAAAGATATATATATATATATATATTTATGTCTATTCATTTATTGTGTTTCTGTACTGCCAAGAGGGACTCTATCTGGTTCACTGCTGTGTCTACAGTGTTTACCATAGTATCAGGCACATTAAAAAGTGCTCTGTAAGTATTTGTGGAAAAAATGAAGTATGCTGTGCTTCCCATCACCCTTAAGACTCAGTTTAGGTGTCATCTGATGGTGAGCCTTACCTCAGGCAGACAAGAGTTTGTTACTGCCTTTGTGGTACTCCCATTGTACTTAATACATTTTTTATTGTAATATTACCAGTAACAATGTTACTATCAGTAAATATCAGTAGTTATTTATTTTATGTCTCTATCTCTCTAACTAGGGTATGTAGGAGTTATAAAGCCTGGAACATAACTGATATAGTGCTCAATGTTTGCTTAAAGTATGATAATACTTTATAATTCTTAAAATAATGTCCATTTATTTCTAGTCTAAAATGAGAACCTTGACCTTCCCAGGTGCCTCTCCATCTTTTCTCTCTCATATCAGAATAAGGCCTTTATGTACTTCTTCCTAGAAGAGGGTAGTAGCCTAACATTAAATCAGACTCAATAGTTGTAGATAGGTCTTGAAACAATGGCAGTGGGAGAAGAAGAATCAGGGAATCAACTGCCATCTCCACAGACTATGTATCTGATTCATTTGCGGTATTATTTGTACTTACAACCTCTGCTAGAATGTATGCTGGTTAAAGGCAGAATCCTTGTCTGTCTGTTCACCATTAGATCCTCAGCACCTGGAACCATATCTGGCATATAATGGGAAACCAAGAAATAGTCATTTAAGATTTAAAAATGAATCTTTGCAGCATTAATGGTGAAAAGAATTCCATGTTCGCCTTGAATTAGGTTTTAAGATAATAGTCTATGAAAAACAGTTTGGAATACACAGAATTCCGTTTAAAATAATTTTGCTGGTATTTACTCTTTCTATGTTATACCTACAAGCGATTTTTTTTTTCAAAATCACAAAACAACCAGTGTCTGCCAAACAGAATGAAAAGTAGATCATGAAGACATATGAAAGAGATCAATTACATATTAATAACATTAAAAACAGCCCATCTGCACAAGAGAACCACAAAGAAAAAAATACATTAGTTGTTTAGAAACAAGAGTTGAATAAAAATGTTTTCAGTGAATTGGAAAAAAGTAAATCTACATGAATTTGAACTAAGGCTTGTTATATTAATGTGTTAAAACATAGTGACTCAAAACATTGACAAAATTGAAAAGTAAAGCTATATTAATTTGATGGGGTTTGAAATTAACTTGGGTGCTCTTAGTGAAGACTTTCTCTGTACTTGGTTAGATCTGATTGGCCGATGTTTGCATCTCCTGGTTAATGCATAGAAACCACTAAGAAAAGTTTATATTCTTAAGATAAGTCTTGCATCTTCTTAAAAGTATTATTTAATATGCTCTCACAGTAGGGTGATTAGGGAAAACAAGCAGGAGCATATTTGGTTGGAACAGAAATTGAAGTCAGAGGAAAGCAGCTGATGAGAATGCTTAAGACAACAAGCACTGTTTGGGCTGGGGCGAATGAAAGGCTAATCCATCACCTTCAACAAATATGGGGACTTCTTAGAAAGTGATTAGATTATAATGTAAGAATCAGGCCAGTCTTATCCACAGGGAATTACAGATTAAGAATAAGAAACACATGGTCCCAGGCTCCCATGCATTTATAAGTTAAATGGAAGACAAGAGATTCTGTCACAAGAACAGGACAGCTATATTCACCCAAAGAAGAGAGTTATCTATTAATAGGATCTTTGGAATTAAGAGTGGTTTTCTTTATGAATTGTTTTAAGTAGAAAGGCACAAAGTGTCAGGATTTGTGTTATTGAGCTCTTTAAAATATTGCTTATTTTTAGTAGGCAAAACCAACTGAAAGGACCCACTTATGGTAAGAAACAGGAAACAGTGGAGGCAGAGTTAGTAGTAAAAATCGTTGCAACGCTTGGCTTGGCTCAATTATTGGAGAAGTCTTGTCTGTCTACTCTGTACCGTAGTGATCTCAATCCTCTCTGAACTTACTGACTTTTCTGCTCAGATATATTGGCTTTATTAAACAGTTAGCTGGAATTTCCTGTCTTAGCTTTCCAGCTAGGATATAAAGAAAGCCCAAATGGATATTATAGATACCATTTATTTTGTACTTATGTGCCAAGTAATGTGCTAATGTATGAGCTGTCCACAGTGCTCTGAGTATGTTAAATCTATGAAAACATCTGGATGTGAAGGTGATCTGTCGTTAACATAATGTCATCCTTTTGGTCAGTTGTTGCTCTGGCTAGAAAGGTCATCTTTTTCTTGTTTTTTTCCAAATACATCTCTCCTAAAATTGTTCATGCTCCAGATAGAAAGTATGTGAGAAGACTCCTAGTAGAGGCTGCAAAGAAAAAAAGAAATGAAACAAAACTTCTTGAATACAGTTAAATCAACAGAGCTGAACAGAAGATCTAAGAATTGAATCCAAGCCAGAGAAAAAAAACAAGGCAGACTAAAGGGTGCTGATCTTTATCTGTCCTCTTTCTCAAGTGTCATACTAAGTTCAAACTGAGCAGGCATTGTGATGTAAAGGCAGAGTCAATCAGAAGGGCAAGTACAGAACAGCAGGAACCATGTTATTTAAGGAATAAGACAAAAGACAAAAACAGGAGACAGAGATTAGTCACTGGGAAGTCCTTCTCTGGATCTTAGAAAGTAAGTCAGGGATCCAGGAAAACTCTGGTAGCTGAGTATTGTAAGGAAACAGCCTCCCACCTTGTATTGAGAGAGTTAACATCACACATTGCAAGTTATTTCACTGAAAACTACCTCAAAACAACACTGAAGTGATTGAACTGTCAATCTTTCATGTGGATCTTCAAGTGCTAAATATATAAGCAAAATAAGACATAAAAGATAAGTTACATAGTAAAGAAAAACTAATAATACAATAAAAACAT